AAGAAAAAAAAAAAAAAAAAAAAATTTCAAAAAAAAAAAAAAAGAAAAAAAATTAATAAATTCAATCTCGTTTAGCAAAATAAACGCAATTATTACCAAACACTTGGATTATTACTGAAATTGTCAAGCTGTGCTGTCGACGATAACGATACAGCGTTAAAGGAGAACAAGACTGGGATAAAACCTCTCCCCACAAAAAATAAAAAGGCCACACAAAGTCCCTCCCCACCCTCTTCCTCCCACTCCTCATCCTCATCCCTCCCCTCTCCGCTCCGGATGTGCCGCTGGAACCTCGCTCCCCTCAATTCTTATTAATTCTCGTTATTATTATTAATATTATTATTAATTATTGTTATTTTTTTTTTTGAAGGGTGTGAGGAGGGATGAAAGGGAGGAGGGAAGGGATGGAGGAGCCCTTTGGGAGATCACTGATTGTCTCTGAGCGGAGGTGGAGGGATCCAAAACCAAAAAAAAAAAATATCCCGGAAAACAGCGGGAAAAACCTCAAAAAATCCCAACCCAAAATCCGGGAAAACCGCGGGAAAAACCTCAAAAAATCCCAACCCAAAATCCCGGAAAACCGCCCCAAAAAAATCCCAACCCAAAATCCCAAACAATGAGGGGTGCAGAGGGAGGGAAAAGCAGGGAAAAAAGGGAGAGGGAGAGGAATTCTCCCATCCCAGCAGAGGAGGGGAAGGGGTGGGATGGGGAGAATTCCCATCCTGGAAATCCGGGAATCCCGGAAAAGCAGCCGAAAACCTGGGAGGGGCTCGGGGTGTTTTGGGAGAGGGGGATGGAGGGAATTCCTGCAGGGAAAAGGGGAAAATGTAAACAAGTTCTCTCTTTTTTGTGGTTTTGTTTTGTTTTTTTTTTCCAGTTCTCCTCTGTGAAAATACTGAAAAGGAGCTTCCCCAAAAAAGGGAAAAGAGCTTCCAAAAAAAGGGAAAAGAGCTTCCAAAAAAAGGGAAAAGGATTTTCTGAGAAGAGGAAAAGGAGCTTCCAAATTCCAAAAGAATTCCAATTCCAGAAAAAGAAAAAAAAAAAAAAGGGAAAAGGAGCTTTTTGAAAAAAGGAAATTCTAAAAAAGAGGAAAAAAAGGAGGTTCTGAGAAAAGGAAAAGGAGCTTCCAAAAGAAGGAAAATGATTTTCCAAAAATAAAAAGGAAAATGATTTTCCAAAATAAAGGAAAATGATTTTCCAAAAATAAAAAGGAAAAGGATTTTCCAAAATAAAGGAAAATGATTTTCCAAAAATAAAAAGGAAAATGATTTTCCAAAATAAAGGAAAATGATTTTCCAAAATAAAGGAAAATGATTTTCCAAAAATAAAAAGGAAAATGATTTTCCAAAAAAAAGGAAAAGGATTTTCCAAAAAAAAAAGAGAAGCTTTTATTTTTTTTTGTGTGTTTTTTTTTTGTTTTAATTCAAGTTTCATTCTGGTTCTGAGCTGAGGTATCCGGTGCAAAAAAAGGGGCAGCGCTTCCTTTTGGGATGGGGAGGGGGGGAGCAGGGATTTAGGGTTTTATCCTAAAAAAAATGGGAAAATCCCACTTTTCCCTGCCCCTCTCAAGTGCCTGGATCTCACCCAGGATGGGTTTTGTTGAGTGCTTGGGGCGGGGGAGCCCCGAAGGAAACAACGAGATAAAAAATGTGCTTTTTCACCCAAAGGCCAAAGACTGAAACTTCATTTTTTTGGTTCAAAAAGTTTGGCTTTGGTTCAAAAAAATAAAAAAAAAAAAATAAGGAAGGAACGGAAAAAAAAAACCAGGAACGGCTCCCATGGAGCCACCTTCATTTCGAAATGATGGAAAAGGAAAATAAAAACCAACAAAGAAATTAATTTTGGTTACAGAAATGCCCTTTTCTCTCTGACACTCCGGGGTTTTGTTGTTACAGGAGGGAGAGGAGCTCGGAGATTCCCGAAATTCCTGAAATTCCCGAAATTCCTCGGCCCTTCCAGCCCCTTCCTCTCTGCATCCCAGTCTTTGGCTTTGAGCAGACTCGTGGGAGGGAGGGAAAAAATTGTTTTTTGATGCTGTTACAGTAATTGGGAAGGAAAAACAAAATAAAAATGGCAAAGGAATAAAAAATAAAAAAACCAACAGTGCAACGTTCTGGGATGCTTCGGACCTGCAGCATAAACGGGATTTCCAAAGATTAAAATTAAAGTTAAAAATAAAAAATAAAAATTAAAAATTAAAAATTAAAAATAAAAATTAAAATTAAAAATAAAAATTAAAAAATAAAAATAAAAAAGGAGAACCTTTTAGACCAAAAAACAACGATCCCACTCACATCCACAAAATCTGCCAGGATGCTGCATCCCAAAAATAAAATAAAAAATATCAAGAATAAGGATTTGCAAGTGCATTCGTTTCCTTAGTAAAGGCTAAAATGTTGAATTTTAATTTTTTTTTATGTTTTTTTTTTGTTGTTTTTTTTTTAAAGGTTTCTCTATAAATAATTCTCTTTTTTTTTTAAAAAAAAAAAAAAAAGAAAGAAGAAACAATCAACCAAGCAAGCAACCGACACCGACTCTCTCATGGGAACGGCCACGCAAACCGAGGTGGGGGAAAAAAAGACGTTTTTAGGGTCTGACAAATTGCCAAAAAAGAGGGGAATTTATAAAAAAAAAAAAACCCTAAAAAAAAAAAATCAAAATCCAACAGAATCCGTAAAGTGCCTGGTGTGGGGAGGAGGCTCCAGCAGTGCACCCGTTTTTCCTTTCCCTGGAATGAGCTGCCAAAGGGGTCGGGGTGTGCCAGGTACAGCAGATTTTGGGATTTTTCAAGTGTTTGTTTGGGGTGAGGAGAGGAGAGGAGAGGAGAGGAGGGATTCCCACCCCAAATCCCCCTGCCAAGAGTTCGGGGTTTTCCTCGTCCCGGCTGGGCACGGATGGAAACGGGAAATGGGAAGGGAGGTCCTGGGATTTCCGGGAAGGGAAAGGTGGGGTGAAGTGAGAATGGGAGGGGAAGGTTGGGAGTGAGACAAAAGTGATGGGAATGGGATAAAAAACACTGGGAATGAGACAAGACTGCTGGGAATGAGACAAAAAACACTGGGAATGAAACAGAAACGTTGGGAATGAGACAAAACTGCTGGGAACGGGACAAAAAACACTGGGAATGAAACAGAAACATTGGGAAGGAAATAGAAATGTTGGGAATAAGACAAAAACACTGGGAATAAGACAAAAACACTGGGAATAAGACAAAAATGCTGGGAATGAAACAAAAACATCAGGAAGGAAACAAAAATGCTGGGAATGAAACAAAAAAGCCAGGAATGAAACAAAAACACTGGGAATGAAACAAAACCACTGAGAATGAAACAAAAACACCAGGAAGGAAACAAAAACGCTGGGGATGAAACAAAAATGTTGGGAAGGAAACAGAAACACCAGGAAGGAAAAGACAGGAATGAAACAAAAACACCAGGAGGGAAACAAAACTCTGGGAAGGAAACGCCGGGAATGAAACAAAAACGCCGGGAATGAAACAAAAACGCCAGGAAGGAAACAGAAATGGGGAGGGAAACAAAACTCTGGGAAGGAAACTCTGGGAATGAAACAAAAACGCTGGGAATGAAACAAAACTCTGGGAAGGAAACGCTGGGAATGAAACAAAAACACCAGGAATGAAACAAAAACGCCGGGAATGAAACAGAAACGCCGGGAAGGAAACGCTGGGACGGAAATGCCGGGAATGAAACAAAAATGCTGGGAAGGAAACAAAAATTCCGGGAAGGAAACGGCTCCAACCAACCCCAAAGGGAAAAATCCAGCAGCACCTGCCCCGTGCCAGGCCAAATCCTGCCCCTCCCAGGGCAGGGAGGATGGGGAACGCGCCGGGCGCGGAAAGCTCCAGAACTCTTGGCTTCGCCTCCCCTGTGTCCCCGCAGAGCCCTCCCAGTCTTGTTCTCCTTCAAAGTGCCCAATATTTATAGGATTCCTAAATAAATAGAACGCGCTAGCGGGTCACCGGGGGGGGGGGCTACTCCGAGTAGCAGCCGTCCAGGCCGAGGGCGTTGTGGCGCTCCTTGGAGTAGGGGCAGGAGGAGCCGTTGGGGAGGGCCCCGCACGCCGCCGCCGCCTTGGCCGCGATGCCGCAGTTCTTGAGGAGGTTGAAGCTGAAGGAGCCGATGGCGTCCTTGGGGGGGAAAGGCTTCATGGTGGAGAGGATAAGTGCCAGGCAGTCGGCCACGTCCTTGTTGGGGGCACAGGCCAGAGCTGGGGTGTGACCTGAAGTGGGGGGAGGTGATGGAGGGGTTATTGGGGGGGTTGTTGGGGGGTGGGGTGGGGTTATTGGGGTGTGGAATGGTATTACTGGGGTGTGGGGTGGGATTATTGGGGTGGGAGTGGGGCGTGGGGGGGGGTGGGGG